AACCATTTAAGGCATGGGTCGTACTTCCATGCCGTATTGGATAGGTACCCCTGTATTTTGACCATTTAACCATTCTGTGCGCTTCTGGACATTTTGGAAGTGCGTATGTGTCGAGAGGGTTACTAAAAATCTCCTTTATAGCCTCAGACATTGAGATTATATGATGTGATTCGTAAAGTGCATTACAGAATTGGATTCGGGAGCGTTCCTTGGTAACTCCAGTGGCGGCCTAGACCAAAAAACCGAGAAAGCAAAGAAATGCTGTCAAGATAGTGATGGGATTGAGTCTTCATCCTTCATCTCATTCTTAGTTCTCAGTTATTTTGCTTCGACGAGGGAATAGCTATAGTCTATGGATCCGCTGAGTTTACAGAAACCCTCTGAGATTCGGTCTTTACTACACATAAATTATTTTCCACCATTTGAAGGGGATGAATAGTGTTTTGGAGAGCCAACTGAATATTTAAATTATGTTTATCTAAGGGACTGATCCAATATGTAGGAGAATGGGTACTGTAAAGGAAAGCGATCAACCTTGTTGTGATTTTGAATGTGCATAGTAAAATCATATTTCTTGNTCTCTGAACACAAACTGTGCAATGATATGGCTTGATGTAAATTCCCAGCTGAATTCTTCAGATTTTCGTATTTGGGTAGGCATGTTGCTTTTTTCCCCGAGAACTTCTGACTATGTCGACAAGATATGCTTGCCTTCGGGAAGACGATTTATGAAGCTCTTCAAATGTGACTAGAAGGAGAGCGACACAAGACATGCTTAATTTTTGCCATCTTTCAGTAAACTACCTTTCAAGATTTATTGGATTATTCTTCATCTGCCAAGACGACAATACACCTTTTGACAGAAGAACCTTGAAGAGGACTGATGGATTATTTCAATGTACAACAGCAATTTCATTTTTTTCGTCAGAGCAATTTCCGTGGGAACAGAGAGCTTTGGGAGAGCGGGGGTGGATAGCGGAACATACCGATTGATTTTTTCCTATCGCGAGAGGGAGGTGGTTGAATTTCTTTTCACTTCACGAATCTGTGACAGCGATCGGATTTCACATTGCTGCAATGTCCCATCTTCCACTCCTCTGCGCACTCGTGCAATCACGAAAAAAAAGTGTCAGGGTGTTCAAAGGAGAACATTCTGATCAAATGGCTTCTCCATAGTAGGGGAAGAGGCACTGGAACGGAAAAGGAAATCTCTCAAGCTGTTACGTTGCGCCACGCACTCGGCACACTGTTCGAAACCGAAGAAAATAACTTCCTGAATCTGCTTAAAAATGGAAGTTCAGATTGACGGGTGGGATTGATCCCGTGCAATTACTACATAAACGGTAGAGTTGTTACCCTTACTTACAGACTATCTTCTCTAGGTTTGCTGGCAGGCTTAATCTTAATCGCCTTGAGGAGTGGGCATATCCTCGGCCATGGGCCATCTTTTGGGTAGAGACATTGTGAATCTCCCCAAACTTGTGGTTTGAGCTTAAGGAAATATTGTAATTGAATGCAAGAGTTCATGGTGACCTCTAATGTGCTTGGCTTCAAACTTGTCATTATTTCAAAAGATTTCTATCGTTTTTCTGACAAATTGTTTTCGTTTTGGCTCTCATTTAGTAAAGCGAATGTGGTGAAGGAACGCTGACCAATACAAAGTCGATTTCTGCATACGTCTTTGTTTATACATAGCGTTGTGTCCGCTAGTCGAACTCGATGACGAGAACGACTCTGATGATTTGCAATGGGGGACCCGTTCAAGAGGGAACAGTTAGAATGGGAGAATGTTATGAATGAATTGTGCTGTGAATGCTCCAGTAACATTACCAAATCAAAAATGGATGGAATAGAATGCCACGGAATACCTTGAGCCCGAAAGACAGTATTATCATAAAACGAAGGCTATCCCAAACCTTTAATGAGCTTATTCATGAGATTTTTTCTGAATCTCATCCTGGATGAGGCTTTTACCCGATGTTTCAAAGCGTTTGAGAAACCGTCTGGGACTGGATTGTTCTCCATCAAGAGCTGTAAAATTTGTTCTGAGTCATAGCAAAGGTAATACAACAGCAAAAGGTTAGCCACTTGCGCAGTCCCCACA